TCTGTATTTTTAAACTCACACACATGTAGAAGTGCACTTTCCCAGTTTTACAAACCAGCAGTTTTCTCTGTGATATTGTTGCTGACTCCTCTTGGAATAACGGCCATAAAGACAGAGCTGTGTAGCAACTCCACACAGGACGTAAAAGCTAACTTGGGTAGCTTCTTAAGAGGTGATAGCATCCGAAAACAGTACTAACACTGTTCTATGAAGAACACCAAAGACATTCCATGTCATGAGCAGCAGCCGGATGTGTTACCTGTGTATGGGTGTGATCTGCTCCAGGTCAGTGATTCTCATGAACGGCTTGTGAAAGTAGTGCAGCTGTAGGATGCAGGCCAGCAGGAAGAAGCCGGGGATCAGAATACTAGTGAAGAGTTCAGACAGAGCAAAGGTCTCCAGGCCGATCGCTGCCAGCCTGAGGATGACAGAGCAACACCACGGGCATGTTCAGATTTCAGCACAGGCTGTGGTTGATTGTTACACTCTGGGAGTGGAATGAGGGGTTTCTGAATACTATCGTCACGTTTCAAGAAACGGAAAAAAAGCATTTTCTAAGTGCAGTGCAAAAAAAAGAAGAAAAGAAATGCCAGCCCTTTCCTATTGGTGGACAAATGTAGCATATCGACCAATAAAAAAATCATGAGATGTGGTTGCTTAGGAAGAGGGTAAAGTTTTGGGAGTGACAGAGAGAGCGAGAGAGCGATATGGACAGAAAGTTTTGTTTCTTTTGTTTTGTGTCAAAAATGGCCCAACACACCCTGGACCCCAGAAATCATGAAAAATGTACATTTTTGGTAAAAATGTTTCATGATGGTGCAGATTTCTGACATTTTGTGTAAATTTAAGCACGTATCAATTAAAACTTTGACTTAGATTGTGTTCGTAAACGAACCACCTCATGTTGTTTAGCTTTCTGGATTTCATGCTTATTTATTATAAAGGCTATACAGTACACGAGATCAACATTCACACGTTTTATTTAACTGAAAGGTTCAATTATCTCGGCTAAAGAAAATAAAAAAGTTATCAAATATATTTACATGAAACACATGTATGTATAATGTTTTATATACTATAAGCACCTTTAGGCGACTGATGTTGTGATTTGGATGCGTTATAAATAAAAACTGAACAAAAATATTAACGCAACACTTTTGTTTTTGCTCCCATTTTTCATGAGCTGAACTCAAAGATCTGAAACATTTTCTACAAACACTAAAGATCCATCACTTCCATGTATTGTCCACAAATCTGTCTAAATCTGTGTCAGTGAGAACTTCTCCTTTGCTGAGATAATCATCCCACCTCACAGGTGTGGCCTGTCAAGGTGCTGATTGGACAGCATGAATATTGCACAGGTGTGCCTGAGACTGCCCA